TTTTTTTTTGTTAGCATTTATCTCTAAAAAAAAAAAAAACAACCCCCCCCAAAAATGGGTCTACGCTGCAGGATGGAGGCTGAGGAATAATTAATAATAAAGATAAATATTGCAGGATACAAATGAACTTTCTGACTGGTATTTAAGCCCTAGAGTTTGGTTTTACAGTGACATAGTGTAACAAGCCATTCTCAGATTTTATCATCTCCCCTTGGATGAGATCCAGAGCAGCATTTAGTTTAGTTTTATTTCAGTGTGCAAAAAGATGGCTGGATGGAAAAAAAAAACCCCCACAAACAAAAGACAAGTTGTTAAACATACACACACAATTATTTCATCCGCTTCTTTCTTTTGGATGGTTTGTTTTGGGTTTTTGTTGTTTTGTTTTGTTTTTTTTTTCTCCTACTGGCGGGTCTGTGAAAGATCGCTAAGAACTGGGAAATACCGGTGAAGGGCACGATTCTTGTTAAAGTTTATCTCCAAATACAGTGTACGGGAGTCAGTGGAGTGCCTCGAATTTATGGCTTAACGCACTGCTGTGGACAGATTACTGAGTGTCTTGTGGTTTCATGTTCCTCATGCATGGTTCCTGGTCACGGCATGCCATCATGCAAATCGTTTCTATGCATTGAACGAGCACTTTTTTTTTTTTTTTGGGGGGAATCAGCCTGAGCTGTCTCCAGGCTGACGGTACCCGATTTCCCCATCTCCCAAACCAAGTAAAGCCCATGTAGAAAGTAGAATGCAGATAATAAATATCAAATAAACTATGACAATTAAATGGCATGGGCTAAATGGGTGGTTTGTTTCTTTTTTTCCTTTTTTTTGTTTTACTTGTTTTAACTTTTTTCTTTTTTTTTCCTTTTTTTTTTTTTTTTTTGCTGCTTAACTAAATGCAAATCTAGTTTTGCATGAACAAACCCTTTAACATCGTGACTTCTGGGTTTTCTTTCAATAATAATCAACAAAATGGGAAAATAAAATCCATTTTTTAGCTGCTTTGGAAAAATATATGAATCCCAGCAGCGGGTTTTGTTTCTCTGTGTGTGTGTGTGTGTGTGTGTGGTTTATTTTGCTTGTTTGTCCTAAGTTGCATTGACTGATGTGGAACATGCAGTATCCACCTGCCCAAACAATAGAAAAATCCATTTTTTTTTCCTTTTTTGTGTTTAAATGTTTGTTTACAAGGGTCCTTTAAACAGGTGGTAGGTCACTGCTTTAGATGCAACGCTGTCACACAGTAAGCAGACTATGTTTGGTATAAGATCTTCAGGTAAGTGTCTCCACAGCTGTTCTGTATTGATATATTTCATGAAGTTTGTAAACAATCTTTTCACTTGCAAATATTTTAATTTGTACAATTCTACGATTTTGTCTCAACACTTGGATTCCCTGACGTCTTTTTGTCTTTTCGCTCTTTCTCGTCTTCCTTCCTCCGCCCGTTGCTGTTTCTCCTTCTCAGGTTTGGTAACACTGTCGTATGACGGGAGAGACGCCGTAGATGGGGTGCCTTCTTTTTTCTCCCTGTTTGCTCCTCCATTTTCCAGTTTTGTGGAGACAGGCCTGCGGCTAATAAAGCCCCGTCTTGCTAAACGAGCCCTGTAAGCCCTCTGGATAACCACTGCTGAAACTTCTTCCTGCTTACGCCGGAGCGTAGTTGTGATAGGCTCATAAGACACTTTGGAAGGGTTGGATGCCACAAATCTTTCCTCCATCTGTTGTCTCAGTATATCCAGCTCTCCGCTGTCCCCCAGGACACGTTTGGTGAAGGCAAACAGGATGTCTAAACAGTGGATCCTGTCTCCACTTACCATAGGCAGGTCCATGGCAATGAGTTCAATGGTGTTGGGTTTTGGGACGCGGAGAGGATGTTCCAAAGCATCAGCAAAGTCTGCGAGCTTGCTGTACTCTATGAACTGTGTGGCATCAGGGTCGAATTTCTCCCAGATCTCGTAGAAGGTCTCAAAGTCGTCCTCACTTAGTGGATCTGCACTCTCCTCTGTCGCCACGCTGAAGTTCTCCAGGATGATGGCAATGTACATGTTGACCACGATCAGGAAGGAGATGATGATATAACTCACAAAGAAAAATATCCCCACCGAAGGGTTCCCACAATCCCCCTTAAAACCACTCCCAGGGTGCTCCTTGTCTAGGTCGCAGTCTGGAGGCCGGTTTAGGATTGGCAGCAGCAGGCCATCCCAACCAGCTGATGTGGTGATCTGGAACAAGCAGATCATGCTGTTGCCAAAGGTCTCAAAGTTGAACATATCATCTATGCCAGCCTCATGCTTGACGTAGGCAAAGTTTGACATGCCAAAGATGGAGAAGATGAACATGACCAAGAACAGCAAGAGGCCAATGTTGAACAAGGCAGGCAAGGACATCATTAAGGCAAAAAGCAAGGTGCGGATTCCTTTGGCTCCTTTGATCAAACGCAGGATACGTCCAATGCGAGCCAGTCGGATGACTCGGAAGAGAGTGGGCGACACAAAATACTTCTCAATGATTTCAGCCAGGAACATTCCTAAAGAAGGAGAGAAGGGACAAGTGTGACAATGGAGACGTGCAGTCTGCTGCTTCTTCTGAACCTAGTCAAGGGACTGGGAACACCTTGGTCAGATTTTCACAGAGGGTCTGCGATTCAGAGGCCTCACCTTCAGGCAGGTGAGTCTTAGCTAGATGCTCTGGCTCCCTATGTAGGTCTCCTAAATGGAGAGGGAGAGAGGTAGGGCAGCAGAGGGATTCGCTCCACCTGGATAAGGATGGACGAGTTGGGTTTTTTGAGGCTCTTGGTGCCTAACTCTGCCGTGTCAGGCTACAGACTATATTTCGAAGAGTAAGATAAATCTTATTTCTAGCAGCAGACAAACCTGGATCTGAGTTTTACACTGCAGGACAGTCTCTGAATGTTGGTGTTTGTCAGTATGCCTGGGCAGAGCTGCATCCAGCCAAACATTTTGAGTGACCCTGGTGTATTTGTGAGGTTATGCACGTTTAACAGATTAGCTGCTAAAAACAAAAAACCTGTTGGAGGAAAATGGTTGATTCAACATTCAACCAAACCGAAAACAAGAGTGCAAATCACATGCTGAGGTAGGAAGCAGTGCAATGCTATTTTCAGTGGTTAGTAAGCATTATAACAATCTGATGAAGTGAGTAAAATTTCTGTTTTTAAAGACAAGGAGAGTAATTGTCAAGTGTTTTACTCCATACAACTGGAAACGAATGCCAGAGCAGAGGGAGGAGGGTGCATTAGTCAGGACTTCAAGCTGCCAAATTCCGCCAGTCTCTTCACACGGCTAAAAAGAGAACCTAGAAGTCCTGGTACCTACATATCCCCTTCAAAGACAAGAATGTGCTCTACTCTGCAAACACCAAACAGCCTAGCACTCGCAGACCTCTAACGGGTGTCGCACTTACCCACGATGGACAGAATCACAACCACGAAGTCAAAGATGTTCCACCCGATGGTGAAATAATAGTGCCGCAAGGCAAACATCTTCAGCACGCACTCACAGGTGAAGAAGATGACAAACACCAGGTTGATCCAGTAAAGGATGTCCTCCATCTGCTTGCTTTGTGTGTCTGTCTCCACCATCATGGTCACCATGTTGAGGCAAATGAGCATCATGATGACTATATCAAATGCTTGCTGAGTAACAAAGTCAAAGACAGCTCCTTGAATGCGGTTCTGTGCAACAGGAGAGAGGCAATGAACCAAACAAGTGTCAACAAAAATCTACCAACAAATTATTTCACTGTTGGTGGAAAGAGGGATGAGGATGTCATTTTTTCAGTGTCTTATGAAGTTTTCAAGGCAAATTCTAGCCACAATTCAATCTGTTTAGGGGAAAGGTAGGACAATGCTATTATTTCTACCCCAACCATGCTACCACAACCCTATTACCAACGCATCTTCCTCTTTGTTGAGACCAAAGGCAGGGTGAGGCACTTCCGCTCACAACTGGAGGAGGCAGCTGGGTCTACCTTGCAGTGGTGAAGTGGCTGCAGGGTGCCTGAACTACATTTCAACTACCTCTCTTGCATCCTGGCAGCGGTCTAATTCCAGCAGCAGGCAGAGCAGCAGGAAGCCTTATCCGCAGCAGTATCTAAGGGACTCACCCAGTACCGCACGCAAAGCCTTTCAGAAAGCAGGGAAATGTGCCTAGGTCTCGATCGATGCAACCCACAAGGCTGCCTAATTGTCCAAGATCCCGCTCGCTAATGCCAGGAGACCTCCTGCTCTCCGTCTACAGCCTCTCAGCCAGACAAGGTTTTCAGATTGTTTTGTTGTTTCGAGTGAGCCATCTGATTAACATCAACTGCAGCTATAGCATTTTAACCTTTCTCAGATGATACCTGAATTATACGAACACGGTGATGTGGAGTCCAGCATGAGTTAGAACAAAGGATGCTTTTGGAGCCGGAGCTCCTTTGAAAGTCTACGCTGCAGGTTTTTTTCCTTCAGTTCCCTTTCTAATGTACTCACCAGAGGTCGGGGAATAGGTTTTTGAGGCTTCTTTGAGCCCAGTTTTTTCATGGCATTATAGTACTTCTTTTGTTCTTCCGTCATGAAAATATCTTGACCTCCAAAGTAAAGGGGCAAAAGGAAAACTGGTTACAATCAGCTCACACACCAAAAGGGAAAGGAATAACATCCTAGCTAAGTCATGAGGATACCTGCCATATGGCAAGTTGGTGGCAGCTATTTTAGGCAGAAATAACTTATACTAATACCCAAGGCGTGCTGATTTTCCTTTAAAGAAAACTGAGTATTTTTCCTATGAATACCCTGTTTTATTGCACTACATCCTTCCCCATCCCCTCCATCGCCCAGGGTGCTGAGGTGTCAGGCCCTTTAGCAGGTACACGCAAATCCTCAGTTGACTCACAGAGAAAAGCAGAATATGAGAGAGGGATGGAGAGGCAGGGAAGACATCTTACTTGCAGTCTGTATATTTTAGTCAAAGCAAAAAAAAAAACCAAACCACCCAGAAATACATTAAAATGTAGTCTAGGGAAAATGTCTAGTCTGGCCAGAGTTTTACATAAAGCTTTGGGCTGCCTCATACTCCCTGAGCCTGTTCTGCCGGTTGCAGCGGGGCTGGGCAGGGAGTGATGCGCTGAGAGTCGCGGCTCTGCCAGGGGAGGCTTGTGCCCCAGCCTGAAGGCGCTTGGCCTTTATTTTACAGAAAAACCCCATCCGCCTGGAGACTCAACGTTCCTCTAACAGGTCTCAGCTCTCCTACTAATCAGCAAACACAGATCACTTATCTTTTTCTTTTGTTGATTGAAGTTGTCAATGATGACACCAATGAACAAGTTCAGGGTGAAAAAGGAGCCGAAGATGATGAAGATAACAAAATATATGTACATGTAAATGTTGTCCTCATACTTGGGTTGCTCTTCTTGCTGAATTGGAGATGAGAAGAGAAATAAATGACATTTCGAAGACATTATATAAATAGAGTCAAAATGAGATCGGTCATGTTTCCAAGTACTGCCATGTCAGGCAGTCCTGTCTGATAAAGCTGTAGTTCTATATGGAAAACCATGTCCTAGAATCATAGAATGGTTTAGGTTGGAAGGGACCTTAAAGATCATCTAGTTCCAACCCCCCTGCTGCGGGCAGGGACAAATGTCCTCACACCGTTTGAAGTAAAGCAAAAGTATACGCATGTATACTGTATGTATGTACCGGGAGGACGGTGATCTAATTTTCAGAAATATAATGTGCTACAGTTTAAACTGACTTTCACCGTAAATGAGGTCAGTGCCCATAAAATACATAGCAATTTGCAAATCACAAAGGAAACGATCATTTTAATGACAAGCACTGTCAAAGTGAAGACATCATTCTTTTTCTTGAAGAGAGATGTGTAAGACTATCAGCTGATCAAAAAGAGCAGAACATTTTTTACACTGTCCTGACACAGTCATACTACTTGTTTCCAACCCTGCACTCAGTGTAGGACAAGAAAATCCATTTAAAAATCTTTTCATAGAAAACCAAGGGAAAAAAATTAGAAAGCAAAAAGGAAGTAATGGTATTTGCATGATTCCAGCATGCAAGAACAAAAAAAGTGCCTGAAGAAAGAGCTCCAACCCAGACATAATTTCAAAACTGGATTCAAACCAGCACTTGGGCTCCCATGTAGATGCATGGTTCGTGGAGGACCTCCTGCCTAATTCTTCCCCAAAAGTTATTCTGATGATGAAATATATAACCTCATTGAATTCCTTTCTTCACTGCATTTCTACTCCAGCAGGAGCTTCCCTGCCCCTAAAGCAACCAGAAGAACCCTGCCCTTCTGCGGATTTTCTTGAGCATCTTTTACGCTAACAGAGCCAATGAAACCATCACGCCATTAAATACGTAATATAAACATAGTTCTACAATGTTTGGTCTTGATTTTACCAAAGCAAAATAGCAGAGCGAAATAGTGGGAGGCGAGTTTGTAGCCATGCACGTTACCTTTCTGGAATCTACTGCTGCATACATGATGTCCATCCAGCCCTTGAAAGTGGCCTAGCAAAGAAAACACATGTTCTCTTAGACAGAATTCACCCAAAAGGCAAAGAATGAGTCTGATTTGTGCCACCCATCTCAAGGATTCCCTGGCACTCTTCATCCCCCTGCACACTGAACTTTAATATTACTTAAAAACTTCTCTTTTCATTTCATCTAAAGGAAGCTAAACAGGTTTCCTGTTGTCTCATGAAAGGTTTGGTAGAGTTGGGGCCACTTGCTGTGCTGGGAGACCCATATTAGGCAAAGGGATAAAAGCTAAAAATGGCCATTTTATTCCAGACCCAAACCCGAGCGGGATTAATGGGATGCTGTATTCCACGGAGGGAGGGAAGCAGTCAAAAAGCACCAGGAGTTGTGTTTCCCACTACCAGGGGGACGGTGAAAGCAAAACTTACAACTTGCAGAAGAGCCAGATATCCTGCCCCAACGTTGTCAAAGTTAATTTTCACATTCTTCCATCGAATCTCAGTGGAGTTGGGTGGCATCAGCGCTTCGCAGTCTGTCTTGTTGTTAACAATTTCTATTTCGAAGCGCTGCTCAGCTGTTTCATTAAAGCAGTAATGATATTTCCCGGCAAACAGGTTAACCCCCATAATGCTGAAAATCAGCCAGAAGATAAGGCAGACCAACAACACATTCATAATGGAAGGGATAGCGCCAACCAAGGCGTTGACAACCACCTGTGTTGGAAGGGGTGGGAAAAAGTTTCAGTATAAAACACAAGGCAGGAAAGAGCAAGCATCAATACAGCTGTTTTTGGGGGGGGAATAGGAGGTAAGGCCACTGACAGATCTGTGGCGTTTACTCCACGCAGAAGTTGGCAGTGAACTTATTCCAAGCGGTAAAAAAATTCTGTTCAAAAGCCACCTACTGAAGCTCTGTTTTTAAAACAAAACAGGCCAGGTTGTTAGATTTGCTGGGCTCGATTTTGGATTGTTACTTCTTTAGTTAAACAACAATTATTTTACGTAATTTTAGTTGCCGAAAGGGAGAGGGGGGCATTACTGAGTGAGGCTCAGGCTCTCTTCTTATTAACAAACAGGCTCCTAGCTAAAATCGTCTCAGAGCCGCGTTTGAGGACGCTTTTGCTCATGGATGCGATGGGTCTCATCAGCCAGTGGCCCTTACGGCCATTCCCCACTTTCAAACAAGGCTGTTATCACTTCAAAGCCCGTCTCCTGCTCCCACCGAGGTCACCAGCAAAGCGCGTGGCGCTGACGCCGGTGGGGACAGGACCAAGCCCGGCATCGCTCCGTTAAGACTAAGCAGTGAGTCGCCGTAAACATCAAGATCGTATTTGTGACTAAGCAAGGCCAATCATGTCGTCTCAGGCAGACAGCTGAGCATGCAGCTATGCAGGCTCAAGAAGACAGAAAAGCCATGTTCCTTCCTCCAAACTGCAGCAAACGCAGCGGGAAGCGATAACGGGTTTTGTCAGAGCTCGTATCTTCCACCATCTCCTAATTTTAGCCTTCCAGAGTTTGGGAGCACCGTGTCCCTAAGCATCCCTGGCCAGCACATGACAAAATGTAAGCTATCAGGCTTTTAATAGAGTTAGGTCAGCAGGATATTAAATCTTTTATTATGACCTCCTAATTTAGATTCCTTTAATAGATGAACAGAATCTAAACTGGTTTTACCCCTTCGCCTCAGTTTTGAAAGACTTCTCAACGCACGGAGGGGGGGGACTTGGGAGTCCTCAAGCCGCAGCACCGGAGCCACAACCGCTCCTGGCCACCGCCAAGCGTCCCCTCTCCTCCTACAACGTCTCTTGGCTGGACGCAACCACCACGCGCACGATAAGCTCTGCAGCAAGCGCCTGTCCTCCACCGTCGTGGGCATGAAGGAAAATTGTAGACCGCAGTGATCTAGACAATAAGTAGCATTACAGCAACTGTTAAATGATGTCATGAATTCATCACTGTGTACCCAGTGAGGTCTAAAGGCATGGATTAGGTCAGGCCCTCCAGACAGGCTCCATACGGAACGCCTTTGCTTTCGTTCTCCCCTCATCCAAACTGGCTGCTCTGCTGCTGAACGCCAACACAACAGCAGCTCGCCTTCTCGGTTTAGGATCCTTCAGCTATCAATACGCCGGTTTATTCCAGTTTGTCGTGGGAAGCAAAAAAATTGTCAGATCCTCCTGAAATATGGTCACTTGCAGCACGTTAAATTTATACAAAAAGATCTGAGAGAAGGAACATGGCTTTTGTGTGCAGACTGACAAAAATGCATGCACGTTTCATAGCATTACTCTCAAACTTCCTGGATAATTTAAGAGCAGAGCAAGCTCTTGAAAATGCAGATTACTATGGAGTAGAGAAAAGCAAAGAACTACATTTTCGGTTTCCTTTGCAAAGGCATTTCAAATCTCTGTTCTCTGGCTCGGAAGAATTGTTCTGGTTCTATGGGGCAGCAGGACTTGTCATCAAGTCAAAAGAAAGGAAAAATAATTGGGGTTAGGTAATTAACTGGGCTGCAGTCCTAACTATCAATTTTGCTGTGGTGAAAGCACCCCACTTTAAGCATGAGGATTCCCTGATTGTGCATTAGAAATCACAGCTTCTCTCCAGTACGGCTTAAAACCGGTTTTTAGTATCTACAGGTTTAGTGCTAGGTCTTTTCCTTTGCGATCACACTCTTAGGCGGGACCTGAACCCAGCCCAGCCAAAGCTCCGGCTTTGTGCCGATGGAAAAGTTTTCATCCTTTGTGCCTGTGTTATAGAATAAAGTTTAGAATTAGGCCGACACAAAGAAATAGCAGCAGGGTAACGTAGTAGGGAAGGAACAACCCTCTTTGGATTTGTTACGGTATCGTTTACTTCGATCACTTCCTCTGGAATTTGAGGATTCCTGATGAGGTCATTGCCTCTCTCGCGCTGCATCCTGTGCTCGGTTACACTACAGCGAATTCAAAGGAGATTGGAAGGATCCAGGTGGAATCGCCCCAGTCAGACCCTGAAGTAAAACTGCGACTGCTATTCCCTTCCCTTTTTTTAAAAAAAATACGTAATTTTATCTCTCGTAATGTCTCTAATTGTGAGCTAACTGGGATTTTGCACAGATGACCTACGTTATTGTTCTAAGAGCAACTGGGAAACCCATTACTGCAACGTACCCTTTACTTAACAGAAACACACAACTTTTTTTTTTTTTTTTTTTGGATGTTCTTATAAGACTATTTCAGTCCCAAATGGGGGAAAAAAAGCAGGAAAATTCAGAATACTAGTGGCAAAGTAGCGAGACACTGCAATAATTTCCAATCCCTGAGACAGGGGTGCTGTCTAACAATTTGAGGAAAGCTTGTTAAGTTCAATGCTTTGCTTGTGCTTTGTTGCTAGTTCCACAGTGACAGGACAGGGGACCATAAAGCATGGTAAAAGGGAGGGAGTGGAAAGGAAAAGCTTCACTATCAGACAAGGCTTCCAGTCACCACCAGACTGGACCGAGAACAACAAGGTGCAACAAGAGGAATTAAACCAAAGCCTTTTTTTCAAACAGCTGAGCTCCCCGCCAGTCCCTTCCTGAAGGCCTGAGTGATCCAAGAAAGGAAGCAGCCTTGTACCCCCTTGCAGGCAGATCGCATTTTTAAAAACCCCTCCGACAGAGTCTGTCAATCCAATTCCACCAGCAGCCAACACCTAGAGGGGCTGGAGACACTGAGGTGGTTCAAATTCTGCTTCTTTGCACCTGGTGATTCTCCCTAGATAAAAAAAGTTACAGCTGAGAAGCCCCCTCAGATGCTAGAGGTAAAAGCCAGGCTAAATGAGAACAGCCAAGTGTTAACATCGTCTACAAATGGCATGTGGTTTGGGCCGGTAATTAATGTAATGAGGCAGCTTAATGCATCTCCCTTTCTTAAGAGGGGAGGGTGCAGCGGTGGGCAGGGTGAGGGGACATCCACGGTAGAGGTGATCGAGTCAGCAGCTGCATCATGATTCTGTTTGGAATTTTTTTTCCACCAGTTTTGATCAGTTCTAGCATGCTTAAAAAAAACCGCTCCACAGGCATGCAGAAGGATCAGCTGCTAATGGCATCTTACCCTCATCCCCTCAAATCGGGACAACGCTCTTAAAGGCCTCAAAGCTCTTAGTGTCCTAAGGGACTTTATGGCACCTAGTTCCGAGTAGCCCAGGGCATTAGCTATAAGGCTGACTAAAGAGACCTACACAGAAAATAGAAAAAAAGAAAAAGAAAGAAAAAAAGAAAGAAAAAAAAGAAAAAGAAAAAAGAAAAAGAAAAAAGAAAAAAAAAAAAAAAAGGTTCCAGACTGTTAGAATGAATCCCCTAGCACTGATTGCCCAGCCCAGACTGCCAGCCTGGGCGGCCCCATAGTAAATACCGAAGACATGACACCAGCTGCCTACTTCATTTGACTGAAACGACCTGGAAGGAAATAATGCGGTTGAGAAAGGCATAAGAAAAGAACATAGGGGAAAGATAAGTGAGAGAGAGGCAGAGACACACAGACGGAGAAGGGGTCTGTCGGAAGGAAGAGCCCAAACGATGACAAAAACCTTACCCTCGCCCTTTACTGTCTGCAGGATCCCAGCGGCTCCCATTAAATTTAAGCCAGACAAATTTTAAAGGTACCTATGAGAAAGAATACAGATAAATACACACACTGCACAAACTGCGCTCAACTTGCATAGCAAGCCACCGTGCTCGGGCTGAGCGGTGGCGCTTCATCCGTGGCCACGGCTTGCAGGGACGGGACGTGTGCCTGAGTTTGGCTTCTGCCAAAATCATTCTGAAAAAACGTCAAAACTGACTCCGTCACACGCGGTGCTGAGGCAGCCGATTCCAACTTGTACTGCCTGAAAACCCAAGGACGGCTTGTTTCCTCTGCTTGTAACACCGAGCTACTGTCATGCGCATTTTTTTTTTTTTTTGCCTGCTTGGCGTTGCAGCGACATTTGTGAGTACTGCTGAGGGAGGATGAGGATGGGTAAGCCCATTTTACAGATGGGCAAACTGAGGTGCAGAGCGATAGCTTGCTTGCTCGGGCTCGTACACCCAAACTACGTCACAGCTGGGGACAGGTTTCTTATATCCATTTTTCAACACTAAACCTATTTTCTTTAGCAGCCTGGAATCAGATTGAGGGGCTACACTTGTGAATTACCAAATATCCTTAAGCAGCGGTACTGAGGGCAGCTCAGGGCCCCACAGGATTAAGCCCTGTGTTACCAGAAGCCGGGGCCATCTACTTTTTGACCTGGCACGTGCGTTTAGGGCAGGAGTCCGTTCCCCACGCGAGCCAACGGAAAACTCTTTAGATTAGATCAAGACCTGACTTGGCCGTATGTAAATAGTATCTACAGACACCATTTCAGCATCCCACTATCTTCCATTTTTGGCTAGTATCACATTACAGACACAGATAAGAAACAGATATGTCAACCTTTTTTAAGAGGAAAAAAAAAAAAGACATCAATATACAGTAACAAATAATGGAAAAACATGAGACCTCCTCCTATAACAGGTGGGGGTTTTGGCTCAATTCTCAGAATAGAGCACTTGCTATTTATCGTTCTTTAAAAAAGGGATATTAAGATAATAATGTGAAATTAACTATGAGGACGATTCTTATTCAACACACATTCTGGGGAAATTTCAGGACCAGATTTCAAATGCATGAACACGCAGGAAAACTTAGAGATTTCATCTTATTTTACTGCTTGTGCATGTGCTTCACATTTTTTCTGTCCTCATATCTGCCCAAAAACAAGTGGCCACAGTATACGGCAACACGGCTCTCTGGTTTTTCCACGTGACTTTTCTGATTTTAAAATTACACTGATTAAAAACACGCCAGGGGTGTCCCAAAGGTTTACAACAAAGCCTTTGTGAAGCAAAATCAGCCTACTCAGGATGGGACCAAGCCCACAGCAACACCGGTCCGTTAAAGCCCTGCTCCCAGATTTCAAAATACGGATGCGATTCTGGGTGTAGGGGCTATAAGGTCCATATACAGAGAAATACAGCGCTTTCCCCCTAAATATAATACAGGGTATAGGCTTCACTGAATCCTCACTTTTAGAGCTTCTTCCCCCTGGGATAACGCCTCGCTCCCGAGTAGGACACTAACACAACGGCAATAAAACGACTAAAGGCTGGTTTAGCTTTCATGGGGTCTTTTCAGTGTTATTCTCTCGGGACACTCCGACAGAAGACACAGCAGGCACCGATGTCAGACAAAAGGAATTCCAGATTGACTGAAAAGCAGAAGCCTTCATTATTACCCAGAAAAAGGCTTTGTCTTCACAAATACACCCAGCAAGCTTTGGGAATCAGAGCAGGAGGGTTATTTGACAATGCTATCAAACCTGAAAAATAACATTCAAGAGCGAGGCAAAGGCTTATTCTCTATTAGTTACGGCTGCCATCCTGACTTCACTGGAACCCCATCTACGTCACATTAGAAAACTTGTTTAAAAAAACCCGTGACTTAACAGATACAGGACACGATGCATAGCTGAGATTTGGTCGAGTAATATTCTGGCATCTCAAATTCACATTTCAGATTTTTTTGTAGACAAAAACGTGCAACTCTCCTGTCTACGACACCAGCTGAGAAGAGAAATTTCTCCTAAAGCACTGGGAATTCAGTGCACTTGTTCAATCCTGCAAATGTGTTACCTGACTGGGAAGTTCCTTATCTTTACTCCGCCAGCAGCCAGATACTCGGGAAGAAAATGAAACTTGTAGCACATCTGTTAATTAAACTGCACTTCGTTCCCAACAGCTGGAATTCAACTCACAACATGAGGCACAAGGACTGGGAATGCTATTTTTGTGCTCAGCTGCTGGTCACCTTTTTAATACAGGGCCCCAAAGAATTGAATTTGCTGAAACACTCTCCTCAGAGCAACAGAGAAGAAGAGATAGTATCTCTTATTAGCTTCCATGTTAGCACTTGGACTTCATCTTAAGGCAGTGAAAGAGATACAGGGTTATTTTCAGACAAGAAGAGTTACTTCTTCAAGATGTGTGTTGAAAGGAAAGGTGTGAAGGGGATCAGAGAGGACTTTAAAAAAAAATAAAATAAAAAATTCAGTTTTCCACAGGAAACGTAGACATCTTGAGTCACTTCTGCCCCTGAATTCCAAGCATAGTTCCTCCACCTACTCAGAAATATTTCCAGTGTGATAATGTCACTGAACAGCAACTTGGCATAACTGAATCATATTCAAAATGTTCCAAATGAGAAGCTTGGAAATCTTTTAATTTATTTTTTTTTATACTTGCTCTTGGGGCACGCACTAAGGACACTGTTTCACAACTGGATGTGATGAAGCGTTTTAAAAGAATCCAAGCACTCGGGATTCTAGAGTTCCTTTTTTTGCAGTTCTTTGGACTTCAAGTCTTATTGAATTCCATAATTTCCTGCCACTTTTGACAGCATAAATTCCATTTATTTTAAACGGCCTTGCTGTGCTTCAGAGCCAAATTTGCTGCTAAAGCTTCTCTCTATTGTCTGTCTTGTCTGAATCCTCAAATTTATTCTCCCTACCGGGATGTTCTGCAGGGGAATTCCAGGACGAACATGTGCTGAGCTGTCCAGACCGACCGTTTCCCTTACTCATGCTACGATCTCTTATCAGCAAGCCGTCTTTGCTGTTGGATACACTCCTGCTTTTTCTCTCCTGGGCATTAGATCTTTTTAACAGAAGGAGGATGATGTTGAACTTCATTTTGCATAATAAGCTTTCAAAGCACTCAGATTTTCACAGAGGTACGCTCCCAACGTTCAGAACAACAGACCTCGTTAGCTGGTAGGATGGGAAGACTTTGCCTGCCTCGTCATCCCCCCTGTCGTTAATAACGCAAGCAAATGATTACAGAAAGAGGGTGTCACCAAGGAATACCATGTCTGCACAAGTTCTCCCACTGTTAACACCTTCCAGTAGCTCAACATGCAGGCAGCTCTCCTAGAAACAGTATTTTCAGTGGAGCAAAGGAGCCCAGGACTGGCAAACCCTCCTTTGTCTCTGCAGGCTCAGTAGGACCTGCGGGGCAGAAATTCCACAGTTGCATAGGAAACGCTAGCAACACTCAAAGGGCTCAAGGGTTTTATCCTTGGTTTGGAAACTTACAGAAATTCGGGATTGAATCCTCGTTAAATATATGATTCGGTTAGGACGCTCCTCGGGAGAAAACATTACCCCAGAATTCTTCTAACTAACATTTTGTTTCCAACCAGAAATAAGGAGGAGAGGATACATACAGCCACAATGAGGAAATCCAGCCAGCACCAGGCGTTAGTGAAGAACTTGACGAATCCGTAAGCACACCATTTCAGCAACATCTCCAGGATGAAAATGTAAGTGAAGACCTTGTCCGCGTACTCCAGAATGGTCCGGATGGTTTTTCTCTGTTCTATGTAAATATCCTCAAAAGCCTGGGAAATAATCAGGTACTCGTATCATTATGTCGGATTTATTCCGTAGTTCAATGTTGTTATCCAGAAGTTTATTCAAAGAGATGAGGAGTGGAATTACATTTCTTATACAGCGCACCCTATCTGCTCTAGTAGTTGCAACACCAAACAAACAAACAACATCAACAAAAAAAAAACCAAAGAAAAAAAAGGAAAGTCCTGAATGAATAAATAACACAAGAACTTCTCTATCTTTTGGGGATCTGAGTACAAGCCTTTATATCCAAATGTTCAGCAACTGGTATCACTAGAGTAACACAGAGGCAGGTTCTTCTGCAGCTCAGCACATCCAAAAGGGCCGAGTTCATCGGCAATTAGACTGTTAATTACTATGAGAGCTGTGCGTGAAAAGAAAACCAGGCTACTGCTGTGGGACACGAATTGCTGAGGACTTCCACCCTAAAACTCGTAACGCATGCTTGAAGTTGTTTGTTGTATAACCCCGTCTACCAAATGCTCAGTGTACTGTGTGAAAAGAAATGAATATAGTGATTATTTGCGTCCACGTAACGCCACAAGGTGAAGAAGGTCTGCAAAGATGGGAAAGTGAAGAAAGGCAAATATAATTGTTCTTGTTCGGTAATGTGAAAATGAGACATAGATACAGGCTGGCTTTGTCCAAAATCCTCACGTTTCTAGTCAAGCTGTGATCAGAACCCGGATTTGCAGGTTTTTAGTCTTCATTCTTAATTTAAGCTAAACAAAAATCATTAATAAAGGCTTTTGCACAGTACCCACCACAATGGAGCTGTGTTGTTTTCCAAGAATCATCACAGCTTTCGTTTTCGCCAAATTTCCTATATACAGCTTTCCCAGCGAAACGTCCCCTAGCTTAACGTGACCGAGCTACACGTATGTCTGCATTTTACTCACCAGAGCACCACTGCTCAGTAGGATCATGAAGATGATGAAAGTCTCAAACCAGTTATGTTCCACAATCAGAAAACAAGTCTTCCTCAAGGTCCACCAGGACTTCCCCAGCCCTTCCTCAATATTGACCTGACAACATTTACAGCGCTGCATACAACCTGGAATGGAGATAGTACACAAAGGCGTATGAGCCCAGATTTTTTTAGGTAACAGATGAGGTAATGTAAGAATATAAAATTGTCATTGTCTAGAAGCAGTTTTGATACCAACAATATTAAACATGCTGAGTTGCAGTCAAAACTCTTGCTTTCTTGAGGATTTTATGATTACTTTTGCCATTTCTGTATCTGAGCACCTGAATTAACATCAATTTGTGAACAGATTAAGCTCGTTATATTTGGTGAGGTATCCATGCACTTGACAGAAGAGGAATGGAAAACTTGCTGACAAAATAACCTTGAACCATTTAAAATATCTTTGCCATGGGAATACCTGTAATGGATCCGTTGCTGAAAGACATTGAGGCCAGTGACAGAAGGGAAAAAAACTCGACCAGAAGACAGATTCTTCTGCTTTTAAGTACTCAAGGCATCAATTGTACAAACGATCAACTTGCCCTACCTAGGGGTCATCCACATCCTTGCAATGGCAACCACATCTCTGGGGTCTTCACCTTGCAAATTCTTCTAAAGTAGTTCATCTGTGATGCAGGGTCCAAAGAGGGTCTCAAAATAAGCTGAGAGCCAGCCCTGATCCAGACTGAGACCTAAACTTAAGCTAAGCTTACAGTAGACAGGTCCCAGCAACAGCTCGGAGGCTTCTTTCTACACTCATAGTCACAGCTTACCTTCTGTGAAGCATGCATCTGGGTCCAGATACTCCTCTGGTGCCTCCACAGGGACTTCTTCCACTTCAGGCTTTATATCAATGGTGCTACCTTCAGAGGAGCTGGTATCATCAAGTTTCTTGAACACAAAATAAAACCCAAGCCATTCTAGAATTAGTTCCCAACAAACATCAAACTTCACAATGACTTCAGCAATTTGTTCACCAGATTTACAGTAATGAAAGTTGTTTCCTCACTTCACCTCATTCAAATCCTGACTCAGCTTACATCTCATGTTAACAGAACAGACAGCATTATTTATACTATTACATATTATATATATTTATAAGTATTTGTGGCTCTCCATAGCGCAACTAGCACAAGAAACCTCTGTCTTGAGTGCAAAGACAACATATATAATATAATGAGAACTTTTGTGTGGGAACTATCTAGTTCTCCCTCCCAAGATGCTTCCAGGCCCTCACAGAAGGGTCAAATGACTAGAAGGAATTTTTAGCATTTCACCCTACCTCTTTGCTGCCATCAGGATCTGTATCACTGCTGAAATCTTCTGTGTTGAGATTTTCAAAATCCGATTCACCTACAGCAATAGGTACCCGGACAGTGAGATTGGGGTTGTTGATGAAGGACATGTGATCTTCATCTATTATGTACTTCTCCACACTGCTCCCAATTCCACTCGTCGTGCCATTGCCATTCTTCTGATAATCAATGTCCCTGTTGATATCAGCCCCTGTATGGTTAGCGATGCAGTTCACCTTCCTGTCATACAATTCGTCCAAGGGTTTGACCTCATCTGCCTCTCTCTGCTTGAAATGAGCCTGCATGAACTCACGCACTTTTGCCTTGGTCCAGGCAATGCCTTTCTTGATGCGAATAACAGAAATCTGCAGGTTGTTCATCTCCCCGTCATCATCTGTTGCTGCTAAGTTGTCTGCGCTGAAGGAGCTCAGTAGCAAGGCCAAGAACAGGTTCAGCACCTGAAGGAGAAGAGGTCACGCTTGGCAGAGCCAACACACAAGGGTTATATTTCCAAAGCTGAACATGACTATTTAGCCACCCGAGCCCGGCTGATGTTCACAGGGGCCGCAGAGCCGAGTCTCCCAACACCACACTGAGAACCAGCTCTGGTGTCCCACAGACCTGTCGAGGTACCCCGGAGTCAAGGAAGCAGACACTGATCCTGCAACGCGTTCCATGAACGGGGGAGCCCTGTGCAGCACACACCTCCGCTGGGTCACGGGGGTTCGGTGAAGGTTCAAGGGTCCCCGACATAGAGCCCCTCGCAGGATCCAGACTGCAGGTGTCAGAGGGAGGGATTTAGGCAGCAGCCATCCAAGGGATTTAAATTCAGCGCTGCTGGTTTAGTCCCACCTCTGGCTCAAAGGAAATGGGCCAAATCTAGGCATTTTGAGCGCTCACTCCCAGCAATATTTCCTTGCCCGCATCTAGTGATAGTCCCCAAGACTTATTTTGTCAAAATCCCTTGGTGAGACAAGTCCTCTCAGAGAGAGCTCACAACACTGCTTTTGAGATACGCAAGTGTTTACACTACGTCACTCTTGCTTACATTTTCCTCCATAGACTTTTCTTCACAAAATTTAAGACCCGAAGGAAATATCATGATCTAGTCTAACCTCCCACACAACAGGCCGTGCAACTTCACCAGCCAATTCTTGCACACAACTATACCTCATGATTGAGCTAGTGGGCAGATTTTGGAAGAAACTTCCAACCTGATCTTAACACTTCAGGACCTTCCCCTCTGCACCAAATTATTTCCTTTCCTGGCATTTGAAAAGCCAGGTTTTGCTTCTTTTAAGTTTCTTTTACCCCCCTCAAGCAAGATGTGGGTCTGTCCCCTTTGACCGAGGGTTTTGTTCCTCCAGCTTTTGTGGCAAAGTGCTTGGGTGCTTTATTCGTGGGCAACTGTTTGAGGTCCTTATCAATCAAAGCCCATCCTTAATATTGTGCTACCAAAGTCTGTGTACCAAAGACTGTTCGTATATCAAAGGCCATGAATGGCCCCAAGAGACTCACAAAGTCATTATTCCCTAGTCCTGTGGTCTCCCCATGTTCTACCCCACCCAGAGGCAACCAGTAAAGACCATCAGTAACCATTTACTGACCACTAAATTTCCGATGACCATGACCATCATGAAGACAATCAAGCACATGGCCTGTCCTGCTACTTCCATACAATCCCACATGGTCTCAATCCATTCCCCACACAACACACGGAAGACAATAAGGAAGGAGTGGAAGAAATCGTTCATGTGCCAGCGGGGTAGCTCACAGTCCGGATTGATCTTGCAGACGCACTCCTTGTAGCTTTTGCCGAAGAGCTGCATGCCCACCACAGCAAAGATGAACACGATGATGGCTAGCACCAAGGTCAAGTTCCCCAAAGCACCCACTGAGTTACCGATGATTTTTATCAGCATGTTCAGAGTGGGCCAGGACTTGGCCAGTTTGAAGACTCTCAGCTACAAAAAAAACCAAAACCAAAACCAAAGCCAAAACAAAACAGAAAAATGACACTTAATTTAATTTCATCTTAAACAAAGAGGAAAATCAGGCAGAACTTCCTGCCAGTAACCATTTTGTATTTTATATAAACATAAGCTTAAGTTCTCTTTGAATTTCACCTCCTGTGTTTTGTACTTAGGTATTCCCCACATGGTGATCTCCCTTTACAAAGGGAGCTCCTACCTGGCTTTGCAAACTTTGCAACATTAAGGAAGTCAGGAGACTTATTTGAAGGGTGTGTGTAAAAAAAAATCTACTTTTTCTCTCCTGAATGCTTCTCATCTTCCCCTGGAAAAAAGGACTTGTTTTCCTGGCATATCCAGAACACACAAAGTTTGATTTCCAGAAAATCACATTTGGAGACAGACTTTCTGAAGTTGGCTATAAGTGGGAGCTTCTGAGTACTGAGTTCCCTGCAAAATCCAATCTCCGTTGTGGATCTCTGCACCCAAAAACCTAACCTTGAGGTTTTCATAATTTAATTTTCAAAAGCTCAACCACTGACAGCATGAGAAGGCTGTAGGTATTCAGCACTTCTATCATGCTGTAACATATAACCTACCAAATTTGACCACATGAAATAAGAGGCACATTCTAACACGGTCCGTCTCCATCCATATTAAGTACTCCACACCAAGATACCTCCCAAGTCATCCTTCACTGCCTAAATGCAACGAGCTGTTGCTCAGATCTCATAACCAGCAGTTGTGAAGTAAGAAGAGATCACAAAAATGACACTGCTCCATCTCTGTTCTCCCCAAAACCAGAAAAAAGTGGGGTTTGCCTTTGCGTATGTAAAAAGCTTTCTAGCAGCTCCAAGACAGTAACATTCAAAAAGAACTGGAATATGGAATACCAATCGGAAAGATCGCAGCACAGAAAGTCCTTCCACATCTGCTAGACTCAGTTCCATTAAGCTGAGGGAGACAATAAATCCATCAAAGATGTTCCAGCCTTCTTGGAAATAATAGTAGGGATCCATGGCGATGAGCTTCAGGAACATTTCTGCTGTGAAAATTCCAGTGAAAACCTGGATTGGTGAGGAGAGAGACAGACAAAGAACAGGCAAAGATTCGCTTTTGTTCATTTTTTGATCTTCAGGCTAAATATCAAACAATGCAATTTGTCACAACGATTCAAACACAAAGTCTGTGCAATGCCATGTGTGTGTCTGCCAGAGCCTTTTCTCCCCTGATGCAGCACAAATATCCTTGACGTCCTCAGCCACACCAGGAATTAACAGATGGAGTTTCAAGTAGTAACAAACTCTGACGAGAGAGGTGCACCCTTAGTAAACATCTCTGAGTGGCCGCTGACTGCGGTGAGGGCAAGCTCATGCTGCTCAGCATCTTCTAGTGTTTGGAAGAGCAGTTCTGTCAGTCTGACTCTACATTAACAAGCAACGTATCCCAGTTTGAGCAGATTGTAAGGAATATTTACCAACACTATCTTACCAGATTTCCTACGGAGAGCACATGTTCAAACTCTGGGGTCATAGGATGGTGCTCCATTGCCATGAACAAAGTGTTCAGCACAATACAGATGGTGATGGCCAAATCAACAAAAGGATCCATGACAATTAAGTTCACTATCTCCTTCAGCTTCATCCAGTACGGGTGGCATTCCCAGATCAAGAACGTGTTGGCAAATTTGTACCAGCAAGGGGGACACTTCCTCTGGGACTCCTCCAGCTCTACAGTTACAAAACAAAACAGCAACAGAGTTCAGTCTTCACCTCTACGGCTGCTGGGTCTGTCTGACACTCAGCACGGCTAAAATGCTGCCTGATCTTTGTCACAAACCCCTCTTGTGTCTCCCTGCTCGCACAACAGTTCAATATTCTTGGGCCAATGATGTATTTTGCTGTGTGTACATACAACATTAAACCGAAAGAACTCCAGGATGCTTGGCAATAGCTTAAGACAAAGAGTTACTAAGCCGTGAACCTTACAACCGTGGCCGATCATGCAGATGAAGAAGAGTCAGGTCAAGACTTTGTACTGAGCTTCACTGACTTCTCCTTCGTCTCTACGCAAGAGCTACATCACACCTGCACGAGGTTACTGGGAAGTGCAGTTCTAAACCTGTGCAGCAGCCCCGCGTGGATCTTATCGTTCAATCCAAATTATTTTAAATGAAGGGATATATTTAACTCGGAACCGATCGAGGTAAACCGGTTTAAATCAAAGTTACAGATTCTAAACTGTCTTTGGTGCCAGTTTTTAAATAACTTAAATGAGTTCTGTGCTGAATGCAGACACGGTCTAAAAGAGGAAATATATGACATAATGCTGCAAAGGAATAACCTCATTAAGACTAACCACATCCATTTACAGAAACCAAACATGATGCTGTGTCCATTTTTTTTTTACACTGGCTTATTTTAAGTGCTTAAGGGGGGAAAAATAAAAATCAGGAATTTCCTCCCCTCTATTCTTTGACTTGCAATGGTTCTGTTCAGGCTATACAGCTGTTCATGCTGAAATTTTGGTTTTTTATGGGTAGGGAAAAAAAGAAAGGACCACTGCGCTCTCTTCCTCATTGGTTCTCTGGTTGCTTAGTATTTAGTTGCCTTGGAATTTCTAAAGTTAAAAAAGAGGACCGTAGCACTGTAGCCTGTAGGCGTTTGCGCAGGAGGGAAGCAGCAGCAGAACCCTGCTCTGTTTCTAAGTATATTTAGTTTTCATACGATTTTATTGCAGGAGACACCAGGAATTTGAGATCATCAACCTCCTATGGCTGCTGTTACTAAAATCTTGC